ACGCATAATGTCAGGATTTCTCGATTCCCTCCATCACACCCCCGACACCCTCAAAATACTTAAAAATGGGTAATTCCCCACTCCTGAGCCCTTGCTCTAGATCCTGTTATTTGTTTCTTCCACCAAATAAATTACGTGAAGAATGACTGGATAGTTCAAACGAGTTGCCATTTAGGACTGCAAAACGTTATCTCATTTCACTTCTGGCTCATTTTATCTTACATTTGCCATTCGAACGAGTGATGCAAAGTTTAATTCCGAATCAGTCGTTGCTGTTTTTGCAATCGAAAGCCGAAAGTGTGATGCAGCTCTCAACACTTATCGAGAACTAGTAAATGCACCCAATGTAATTACGTTACATTGGGTGCATTTAATTTGTTCTCGATGTAAACAAATAAAGAACAAGTGTAAATGTATCTCATACAAATCCTGACGCAGTGCTCGTTTGAGAGAAATTATTTCGTTAATGATGAAGTGAATGTCGTTTATAGAGAGACCGACAATTATAAATCCTACAAGTCGTTCACGGTTGTCTCACGCTAAACTAGGCTTAACAAGCGATCATTTCATTGTTTCTCGCTTCATTGTGATTTTCAGTCATATCTTCAAAAGCTTCGAACCCCTTTTGTATTTTAGAACTTCGGATTGTGTTCAATGAATTATACATTGGGGAGCATAACGCATGTTCAAGCACCATATTTACTCGGTTGTACCGTCAACTTCGCATTTATACTACCTGGCATACCTCTCAATCTTCTCGTTTTGTATTTGTCAACTCGAAGTGAGGCGTCCAATGGTGTAGCAAAGGTAAAGGTTTGCTTCTAACATCGTTCATTACCTTTCGCATTTACTAGTAGGAATTTTGAAAACATTTTTTTAATCCTTGCAAGATAAATGCTTCGGATTAGGTATCACTCAGTACGCACTTATCTTCCTCCATTCCCTATAGCTGTTCATTCCACGATGTAATCGGAAATGTGTTAGTACAGAAGTAATTTTATGTATTTAAGCTGTCCAAGAATTATGTTTGTGATTGCTCACAAGAGTAAGCAATGCATAAAATTTTGAACGAATAGAGGCGATTCTTTGAAGGTTTCTCAAAGCAACGATAACATTTCAGTACTCAACATTGGGAATGACATTATATAATTTGTATGCTTGTTTGGGCTTATCAACGCTCTATTCATGGTACTTGATCTCATTGTGGCACAACATCCCCATGTCGGTACTTGCGTGTAGTCTGATACGACGAATTCTGGGATCCACGTACTGCTCAAGCCATTTGGCGCTTTTGGTAAAGTCATCATTGATTGAGTTCGATGCCATTAATGAAGTCAGGGAATAAATACAAACGAGTTGTTTCGATATACATTTTCATAAAATATTAACATTAGGAGAAGATCTTAATTTCATGCGTTTCTTTTTTTGAATCAATAACCAATCGGGTGCCTATGGTCATTTGATCGGTTTCGATCTCTTTGAATGGAAAGAAGGTCTCAATAGATAGCATCCAGAAGACCAGATCGAAGTTGTTGATCGAAAATTGATCTCGATGTCGGTAATTGTAAATTAGAATTTCATATTAGGTTATGACAGCTTGTAATTTAGTGTGAGAAAAGTGTTTGCCAGTTTAGTGTTCAGTTGAGATTAGCTTACCGAATTCTTAAATAATTTTAGTATTATTAGCAAAAACGATGCTACTGATGCTAAGCTATCATTATTTTCACTTTTACAAGTAGTGCCGTATTCACGTATTCAATACTATTCAAGGTAGTGGCGTTAGATCGGTACATGCTGATTGTTCGAAATAAAAGTTTCGGAGGATTTTACATCACAGTTCTTTTCGGTAGCGTTATCGTTTACTGTGTAAGTTTACTGTTCATTCATTCAATTGTGTTCATCGCTTCTTAATGGTTCTATCCGATTCGCTGATCGCGTTTTGCTTATTACACATCATAACTGTTCATTAACTTCAGACTCTTCATAATGTTCAGTTTCAAAATGTGGTGTTTGTACAGCACACATCAGCAACGATACGTCGTATATCAAAACTCTTTCTGATGTAGTGATTACTTACATCATTACTGTTCGTCTGAGATTCTTCGCTATTGAATATCATTCTAAATTGCAGCACGGTGTCGTCAATACTTTACAATTCGTTTTCCGCACAATTGGTATCGAAGATATTTGTGGACCTACGGCAAGAATGCCTTTTATTGGATCANTTACGGAAAAAAGAGTTAGTTTGTCGTTCAACATCTTCTAACCAGTTTTCATAGCTTAACGAGGAGCTGTGTTTTTACTCCGTAAAAACACAGAATCTACAATAAGGAACTGTGTTCTGATTCTATTAAAAAACCTCATTTTCGCAACAAGTTTACATTACTTAGTCGGTGTGTTTTTACGCTGTAAAAAATCTCATCAATTTTAGATTACTTTTTTGAATGCTCATCAGGTAAATTATATTTCAAAAATGTGAATTATATTTCTCAGGTCAAATGCGTTGATAATTTTCCTTTAATTCGGATCTAACAAGGTATTTTATGTGAGAAATTCAAGAAAAGTTCTCCGCAATTGTGCTAGTAAAATTCTTAAGTTACGGGAAACTTGTCCAATATTTTTTTTTACTGCTCAAATCATTATCACTCTATCGCTTGTGGCAGACAACATCGACAACTACTCTCATTAGCAGAGTTTGATTTTACAGATCAATTGGTGATAAAGAAAGTGAAAGAAATCAAGTACTGGCAGAGAGGAATGTATGGTCTACTGGCCCAAACAATAATACCGTGTTTCTCTGTTCTACCTGCTTCGGTTGCTGAAGGGATGTTCTTCGCTGGTTAGTTGCAATCATTTGAAGGAATTATGATCAATAAGTTGGCATGCTGGTGAAATCTCAGTTAATATGTTGCTGTTGAAACGAATCAACATCAAATTATATTTCATATGGACGGTTAACATTCAGTGCCACGTTTTGTATCACTTCATCGAAATGGCTAGGAATTAAAATGGAGTATTGTATTTTTGTCATGCTAACTGAAGCATTTTTGTCGGTGTAAATGATATGCTCTCATCATTTTCTGCACTTTGAACAATTTTACGTATAAGCCATTACATAATTAAAATTTTGAAACACTTTCGAATAGTAACCACCGACAGCTGAATTTGCTTTCTGTAGAACAACATCCCGCAGAACTTCGCGTGAATGTTTTCGCAATATGCTGTCAGTCTTAAAGACGGCATCACGCATACACGAATATATGGTTATTCCTGATACGAAGACAATGCTTTCAATAATTGCAACGAGTAAATCAAAAACAGACCTTTGACTGAATGCTTTTTATGAAGCAACTCAGCCTTTTTTAAATTCACTGTTTTCAGACTCAACAATCAAATTTCCCACAGTATTTTGGGTGTCTATCAATGGTCTGGCATGCATGTATTTCTCACTGAATCCAATTGTAACGATCATCTCAGTGCGTGAATACTTTAAAGCCGTGAAACGAATGATTGGTGTGTCGGGTAATGATCTCGTGCCGTTCAGTACTTGGGCGACGCCAGTGGCGCCAATCACTGGTTTGCAGTCAAATGTTTCCCGAAGCACCCGTAATTCCCGTCGAAGCACGTTGCATGTGAGTGGAAATATAGTCGGTATTGGTTTTACTTAACAGCAACAATAATCGACATCAGCGTAAATTACTCCTACAAATTCCGCTGGATCATGTTCACCGAAGTTGTCAGAAAGAAAACATTCTGATCAGTCAAAAAAAAA